GCCGAAATCACAAACTTAATCGAATCGGCTGAAAAATCATTCGGCCAATTTTTATCAGGTGTTCCAGTAATTATGAATTAAATGTTTGAAGAGTATTAAGTACTAGTAAAAATTATTTATGTTCTTAATTTGAGAGCTGAATTCCTGATTTTAGTTCCAGTCGATTAATGGTCTTTATGTTCACAGGCTATGTGAATGAAATGTTTGAAGGGCATTACTTTTTCTAATAAATTTTAATTAACTATTTTTAATATTTGCAAAACTAGGTCTCAAGACCAGAAATCAAATAACCATGAAATTAGTTAAAAATACTGGTTTTTATTTGGTCTAGAGTTAGATCATTCTGGTTTAGTTAGTCTCGGTCCCTAATTGAACCAGTCCCTAATAGAATCAGTCCCAATATAACTATTGGTCCGATCTAGTTAGTTTCTGGTTTCAAAAATTAACTATTTTTTATAAAAATAGTTCATCATATTAGCTATCATTCTCAAATAAAATTTATACAATAATGGTTTTTAACTATTTAAAGATTTATTTTAATAGTTTATTATTAATTAGTCTGAACTGATTAGAAGACTTAAAATCAAAGAACTTTATAACCAGTTAAAAGGACCAGTCCTTATTCAGTCTTTTTAGAACCAAACAATTTTAGTCTTGAACTGTAAAATTATTTTTTGGGACTGAATCACTATAAGACTATTTAAGACCGGAATTGAACTGCTGTAGGACTATATAGGACTAACTAGACTATTAAGAATTAAACCAATATAGAATTGGATTGTAGTTCAATACAGTTAATTTTATAGTTTGATTCTAATCAAATCCAATTCTTTTATTTTTGATTTTAGCTTAATTCAATTTTTTTATATTTGATTCTAGTTTAATTCAATTTTTTTATATTTAATCTTAGTTTAATTTGGTTTTTTTATTTATTTTTTATTTAGTTGTAGTTTGATTTAGTTTTTTTTATGCATAGTTTAGTTTTGATTTAATCTTTAGAATTGAATTGGACTGGACTAACCATTAACATCCCTAACAATACTAAAATAGATAATGCTATCTGAAATTGGGGACGAAGACGGAATCTTTTATCAGAACTCCGAATAATCCGAATTTACTAATTAATCTGATAAAATTTTAGTTTTGGATTCCAAATTATCTAATAAGGCCATATCATTCCATGTTGCTGCTTGTTATTAGCGAACTGAACTTAAATTTAACATGTTGTGCATTTTCATAATGAGAGAATCGAATAATAAGAATTCTTTATTATTCTATTTATCGGAGTTAGTTATAAACAGATAACGAATATGAAAAGACCCTGTTTTATCTAAGAAAATAACTATTTGTACACAGTGTGTTTATACACAGTGTTTGTTTAACATGTAAATCAAAACAATTTTTATTAAAATAAAAACAGTTTAAATTAATTTTACCTACTATTAAGGTTAATATTAGAAGCTAAAATAGTGGCAAGACACAGTTATACTAAAATTTTGCAAGGAATTTTTTTCTTAGTTCTTAAAAGGTAGTTTCATAAGCAAAATTTTGAGTTATAATTAAATTTTAATATTTGCTTTGTTTTTGTTGTTCAAAAATTGATCTACAAATTGCAGTTTTCTATTTATTTTGTGTAACTGTGTAAACACACTGTGTACAAAATAGAAATTCTCTTTATTTAAATGGATAGAAAATGCTATCTATATTTCAAAATAAAGTTATGAAATAAATTTTGGTTGAAATTCAAAGATAATAAATAGCGAGTAATTCCAAATTACTCGAAATCTCTTGTGTTGTATACTGCCTACTCTTGCTATCACAATGTTATCATTATTTAAATCAATTTTTCATTATAAATATTTTACAGATAAACAAGAAATTCGACATGATCAGGTAAATTACGTTTGGAAAGAGGCTGCATTTAAAGCAAGATTATATAATGATCATATGAAAAAGTCACTAAAAGAATGGCGTGATGATCAACTAAGATTCATCAAAGAAAATAAGATTTTAACACCTGTAGAAACGCAATATCTTCTTAATGAAATAACCAAGGTTAGAGAAGCTGTAGATGCAAAAAATAAATCCAATGAAATATTTATATGTTCTATTTGTAACTTAGCAAAATATTCAAAAATCTATTGTGAACATTGTATGCGATTAAAATTGAAAAGTGAAAATTGGACATCTGGAAACAAAAAACTTGATTCTTTTCTTAGAAAATGCCAAGATGAGAGTCCTATACCACATTGCATTATTGAATGGGTAGAATTTTGTGAATTAACAGATATTGGGTTTTTAGCAGAGGGTGGATTCGGAAAAGTGTATAAGGCAATCTGTACACGCGGCAATATCATTGGTTGGAACGAAGCAGAAAATACTTTTGTACGAGATTCCAAGTCCAGAAAGGTAGCACTTAAGGTCTTTAATGGAGATGGCCTCCCTGGGGATGAATTTTTTCAAGAAGTAAGTTATTCATCTTTTAATACTGTATATTATGTCATTACTGAATTCTATTGTTCTGTTTTGATTAATAGGCACAATGGCATCAAGATTTAACAAGAAAACGAAATCTTAGGCCTTGTGTCATTAGTATATTAGGTTTCACAAGGAATCAAGAAGGCAAATATATGATTGTTTTAGATTTCTGTGAAGGAGGTGATTTACGAAATTATCTCCAAAAACATTATAAAGAAATGAGTTGGCAGGAAAAAGTGAAAGTTGCTTGGGATATTTCACTTGATATATATGGGATTGTTGAATATGGATCAGTTCATGGCGATTTACATCCTGGAAACATACTTTTATTAAATGAAAGTATGAATAATGACTGGTATATTTCTGATCTCGGGACGTGTATGCCAGTCAATGAGCTAGAAGAGCGAGAAAAAGAAATCATGGGAGTATTGCCTTTTATGGCGCCCGAGCTCCTTAATGGCGACCACAAGACACAAGAATCTGATATCTATTCTTTTGGAATTATAATGTGGACAATAAGCGCTGGATGCATTCCATTTAATGATCGATATGGAGATCCATATTTGGCCAATGATATTATATGCGGACTTCGACCTTCTATAATTCCTGGAACACCAAAGAAATATGCGGATTTGATGCGTAAATGTTGGGCTAAGGATCCTCATGATCGCATTTCCGCAAAGGATGCTGTCCAAATTCTCCGAGTATTATTGAGAGACATAATTGAGAATAATTTTATTGATGAATACTCGATCGAAAAAAATCAATCGTGGAATCAGCCAAAATTAGACTTTACAGTTTTTCGAACTAGTGAACGATTAATTATTTCAAATTTGGTTAATTGTTGGGATGAATCACATTCGAATTCGAATATATATGGTACAAAATCTTTGAATTAAAAGCTAGCAAACTATAGTATATATTTAGAGCAATAATGTTAATAGGAATGTTTGCATAAAATTAATTTAAATATGACATATCATACTTTAAAATACTGTATGTGTTCGTAATTATTTTCATAATTCATTCGAAAAGTTTTTAATCTAGAATAGTATTATTATTTTGTGCTATCTATTAAATCCATGTGTTGCTATTGTTACAAATGGGTACTCATGTAGCCTGCATAAAATTTTATTATAATTTGCCACTTATTTTATTTTCATTTTTTATATCTTTTTATTCATAAAATTTCGTTACGAATATAAATCAAATTTAACATTAACAGTTTAATTCTTATTGAAGTTAAATAAAATGGATTTATACATGGATCTATATAGCAGCCACAGAAACCAAACGTAAACGGAAATAAAGTTGAGTGGGGGCTGCGAAGATCATCATATCTAAGATGTACTGTCAATCTTTAAAAGTGATCTGTCTTGACGTTTCTCTGTCACGCTTAGTTTATTTGTTTATTAGACTTGACATGATAAAGTTAATGGTAATTGTTCAATAGATATCACACAAGATTTTATTTAAACTTAACGAAAAAAAAAAAGTGTGGTGACTACCACGTAATAAAAATAATTTCATCTTTATGTTAAATTACTATATCTTTTATAAATCAATGTAACAAAAATCATGTTTACTATTATGCATAGTTCTCATTTAAATTCTTCCATTCATGTTTCTTTAGATGAAGTTCTTAATGATCTAAATAGCCATAAGTGCTTAAAATAAGTTAGTCACTTCTAATTTAATACACACACATATATATTTATTATTTATATTTATATATTCCACGGCCCCTAATGTTCTCCCGTGAACATTTCTGATGATATTTCTGTATTTTATGATGACGTAATGCCGCGAAAATATCAAAAATTATTTTAATCAGAAATGCTACGCACAAGAAATGATATTACAGATTAAAAATTATGCGCATCCGGTTGATCTGGGTTTTTTATATATAGGAATATATTTGGGCCAGTGTCGTAATAAAGATATACTATGCGGGACCTTCATTGACTTTTCCTTACAAATTAACCCACCTAGCGGACTTCTCAACTGCAGTATCGTTCAGATACTCTACAGACTCAACACTTTAGCGACAACGGCGACAATTAGTTTATTATTTGTGTATTGACTTAAAACGAAACTTATTATTAGAACCATAATACAGGATAATCTATTGTCCGAATTACACGCATTAGACTATATATACAGAAATAGACTTTTAATTAAAATCATGCAAATCACGCCATTCATGCAAGTCCTGATCCGGTACCACGAATTTCTGGCGTAAGAATTAACCCGTGACACCAGGATGTGAAGCCATTCTATTTACTGATTTAGTAAGATAATCAACTTTATGAAACTTTAGTACGTATATACTTAATTAATGGTAAGCAACTAGTAAGTAGTTAATGAATTGACTATTTAAGTACATTAATGAGATTTACAATCTTTACACATATTTCTAGATTAACGTAATAAATTAATCTTTGAATACCTTATTTTAAGCATATTAATGAATAACGATTTATACGGTCATTCATAACAAGTATGCTGATGAATTAACATACGTATCCACAAACTAAACCGATAAAATTTAAATTCATTGGTGAGTATTTCAAAATTGAATATTGGTGAATTTTTTTACAGATTCTCATCTGTGTATATCACGCTAACGCTAATTTCTATTTTAGTTAAAAAAGAAGTGTGTATATAATGTCGGAGTATTATTGGTTGCACGTGGTAATTGGCGCAGTGCAGATTTTATCATGATAGAACAATTATGTAATAGCGCATAGTTAGAAATAAAAGTCTGGTGCGGTACCTAATTGATATAGCATTAGTGGAAATTGAAGCGGATATTCTGATGCATTCTTTAGCCTTATGTCACATATTTCTTTTAGTTAATTTATTATTAAACTGACGACAAATCAACCCATGTGTACAATCACCAGACGAGGAAGAAATAATACAGTATACGTATAGATATTAGACTAGTCTCTAACCCGGTGCGTAGCACCGGGCTTTAACATTCTTAATTTTTTTTTATATTCTTTTAATTATTT